TAATAAAAATGCATCAGATCTCATAGTAATTAATTATTTATCATATTGGGTTGCTTATACCTGTAATTGACCTAAGAATATGGGATTTTCAATCTAAAGAGTGGAGCTTAAACAAAAAAACGTTGTTGCAGCATGTTCGACTCACACGAGAAATCTAAGAAAACGCGGGTGGAGTTTTAGAAGTGGAGGGAAAAAAAATCACCTACTAAGCAGTGTTACTCATGCATCTTGCCCAACAATGTGATCCCTTCAAACAGGAAGCACAGACTCAAAGCGCCTTTCCTGGTCACCGCATTAAATGAATAATTCAATAAATAAATGGAATATTAAATGGTGTGACCGGAAAAGGGTTGACACCCTATTCCTTATTTTCCCACCAGTGTAACAGCCTGTCCCATACGGTCTAGAGTCTACCCTCTGTGTGAGATTTAGTCATTTTTCAAATGCTCTTTAAACTTTCTTTCACATCTATACTACACCTTTTTAATTTGTCCTTCATTCAAATTAAATCTTCCAGTTTGGCATAATTCATTGCATCTACATAGTAAAATATTTGTGCATTTACAATATATTATTGGCTTTTGCAATTTAATATACAGCTGTTTTACAATTTAATATACAATTTAATATAAATCTAAATCTGTTACAATTTAATATAGAATTCAATATAGATCTAAATCTGTTTTACGATTTAATATTCAGTTTCAGTTAAATAACTGTATTCAGTTAAATAACTGTATTCTGTGACCTTTTTTAAAATAATATGTAGAATATTTCTGTAAAATAACAGTCTGTCTGCATGGTTTTCACACAATTATGCTGGCACTTGATGTTCCCATCAGGGTTACTGTTTACTATTGTTAATAAAAACTAAAACACTAAAACTAAAACCATAAAACAATTTTGTTACTTGAAATAAAATATTTTACTCATTTTATTTTAGCTGCCAAAGCATTTCTCATTTTCATTTAGTTCATGTTGATTTACTAAAATAACTGAAACTAAAACTGAAATAAAAAATTATGAAAACTAGACATAAAAAAAAAAAAACTAAAACTAATAACATAATAACATAACACAACAAAATTACTAAAACTTTAACTAAAACTAAAATTAAAATGAAAACAGAAAATATAAAAATAAAAACTAATTCAAATTATTAATAACTATAGCATTTCCGTCTTGTGTTTTTTGTTGTTGTTTTTTTTTTACTTTTTGCTGGTTTGTTTTGGTGCTTTTGCTTTTATCACTTTTTGTTGTTTAGGTAGTGTACTAGTCATGCATGTTTAAAACAATTTTGAAATATTGAAGAGAAATAATGCAATGTCCGGTGCCAAGCTTTAAGACCAAGGACCAAGTTACAACATCTTAGTGGTCTTGTATTACATAATTCATCTTTACCACTAATGCAGTTGAAAAAAAAACCTTAATATTATACAAAAAGTATTTCATGGCCAGAAACCTCAAAAAAATCATGTTTATTTTTTCACATTGTTCTTCTTTCTTATCATTCTTCTTGTCCCTATCTACATCATCAGACGATCTGCTAATGAGTATTAACGATGAGGTGACACACACACACACACACACACACAGGTTTGTTTTTGTGAAAAGTGTCCTTTTCCATTGCTCCAAAAATCCAGGCTACCTCAGCTGACATTAGTGTCAATCTAAGCCTCCTGTGTATAGAGATATTTTCCATGGCACCAATCTGAATCTAGGTTCTTCATCATTTTTCTTAAACACAAATCTTGCGCTGGATGTGCAGAGCATGACAGTCATCCCTATTTGGTATTACTTAAGATCTCATTTCCTTTCCCTAACAAACTGGTATTTCTCATCTTGACATAATGGTGGTGGGTTATACAGAGATCTGGGGCGAGAGGTGTGATGAGTCCTTTAAAGTTAGTAGCACTTATGAAAAAATAAATGCGATATTTGATGGAGATCATTTTTAAAGCGTTGAAAGCTCTAGATGTCAACCCCAGCAGTTCATTGACAATTGCCCAGCAGGTTTTTTTTCTCATTCGTTTGCTTTTAACTTAACACTATCTGTAATACTTCTGTTCACTTTAGCTTATAGGCTTTCTACAGGTGTGTGGCAAAGAGCTGTTTTGAGTTAAAAGGAATGAAGTGAGTGAGTTTGCAGGATATTAGCCTCGGCTTTATATCTCACGGCAACAAGCTATTTTACGCAAGTTGTGGCCATGACCTGCTGGGATACAGCTGACCTCTGAAGACATTTTTGATGAATAGTAGAGTGTCTCCTGAATTCATGAAAAGACATGGATTCATTGAGTTGGAAAATAAAATATATGGTTGTTCCTTCAGCTATGAGCACTTTTAGTCCTGTAGACTTTTAGAACATAAACTCTCTTAAAAGATACTTTTCATTGTCTTAATTTATTTGAATTATTCACTAATGATATCCATCAGTGATACATTTCAGATGATGTTTTGCATTTTATAACATTCTGTGGTGGAAATTACATTTTAATCATTTTTGGAAAAATAAGGCTGACTCTTTTGTCTTGCTAAGTATAATTTCATAGCTTGCATTTGATGTATCCAAAATATACAATTTAAAAATATTTTTACGTATTAGGTGCTAAATGGCTGATTAAAAATTATTTAAATCATTTTCAGACATGAAATGATCATATAATTTATTTATTTTATTTTATATTTTTAAGATTGAAAATCTGGGCCTGTGACAAGGTAAAACAGTGCAATTTAAATAAAGGCATTCTATTCATTCATATATATTTTAATGAAGGCATGGTAAAAAGTTTCCAAGACAGATGTAATGTTACCATTATATAAAAAAAACACAAAAAAATTTTGAAATCAACCTCAGGGACATAAAAGTGCCTTGAATTGAAGAAACATCCATAAATAAAAGAATATGTATTTTTTTGGCGAAGAGCTGATGATGTCTTAAAAAAATAAATAAAAAATAGCAGTTTTAGACCATTTTATAGCAGCTGTCCGTATAACATTTGAGCTGTATATCTGTGTTTTATGGTTAGTCTTTCCAGTGTTTTTTTAAAAGAACTTACAGTTGCCAATCCATGTTAGCCAAAGAACACAGTGACTTTTGACCATTCAATCTCGTTTTATTGAAAAATGAAATAAAATAGCATGTACAATAATAATTACAATAATAATACTTATAATAGAAACATCAATAATATTAATCATAATAGAAAAATCTGTACATTCCATTGTTTTCTTTCAGTACAATAGGGAAGACTGATACAAAAAAACGACTGCATAAAGTATGGGGATATTTACAACAAAGAGAAAGAAACGCTGGCTATAGACCCACAGTCATTAAAAGGAGCATTTTCTTTAAACCAGCTAACATTAGCCCAGTGAGAACCAGGTGCTCTGCGTATTTGGCTGTTCATCAAGTGTCTCTTGAAAAATTACATGCCAAAAAAAATAAATAAATAAAATAACTATGGATGAAACGGCATGGATAGCAATTTATACTCTTTTGTACGTTTAACACAGCTGCATAATATGCACTATTTTCAAAATAAATATCCCCCAATTTTATTGTCTCCTTTTATAGAGCTTTCCGGAGAACATGCTCTAGTGGCTATTTTGGATTACTTCAGGTATTTAAGAAAAAGCAAGGGTGAGAGGAGACAAGATATACATCACAATCAAACATCTCAGGAGCACATTTTGTGTGCAAGTGCGGTTCTGAGCTCAGATTCTGTGTTCTGATTGTCATTGGATCACAGTACCATGATCTCAGTCTAATTACCCAGTCCTACATACCCAGTCCTTGGTACACCTGCCAAACAAGTCATTAGGGTTGTATTGCAGTTTGTCAGGCAAGACAAGAGGTTAGAGTTGATTGAGAAATAATTAATTATTAGAGAGTTTTAAAGTCAGAAGGGAGAGTGGATTTTGTTGTCTGTCCCATTTCTTTCCAATAAAACCCAAACCGTTCAGCCATTATTCACTCACACAGTCTGTAAATGAAACTATATGTAATCCATGCGAATAGAACCTTAAATCTAAAGGTTTTCTAGCAACATTTTCCAACCCTAACACTCATGTAGCACTAAACTACAGTAACACTGAAGTTATGGGATGGAAAGGAGGGTTTGGAAATAAGGTAGGCTAACCTGTAGCTCTTATTTCCAATGGGCTTTGTTATTCATAGTCTTTGTCTTATACACATTTGGCTTTGAATAAGAAAATAATCAATAAAAATAAACCATATATGTGCGTAAGCAAACAAAAAAACATTTTTTTTTCACTTACAAATATATATACTTTTTACTCCACATCATGACTTGTCCTATTGTCCTACGTCTAATAAAAGAATTTGATGCATTCTTTATGAAAGATCACTTTGAATACTCTTTGGATTAAGTCTAAAACTCTATAATATGCAACATAGCAGCACTTGTAGAAAGACATTCATTAACACGTTCACTCTCTTTGTCCGTGCGGACATGACCACTGCGATTCTCATTCTGATACTGATCTAAAGACCCTGTCCGATATATATATATCAATAAACAGGCATGTTCCTGTGCATTTCTCCCTTCAGATAACCTGAAATGTACTATGGAGGGCTTCCAACTTAATGTCTTTTTTTTTTTTTTTTAAGAGCAGACACCAAGTTGTCTGTATTAAAAAATACCCAAATAGAGGTCACACACCTAAGCCCACACACCTAAACAAGATTGTTCCAGAAATACCCGAAGCCTCACACGAAGGCCAGTGGATTTAAATAGAAAGGAAACGAGGGGATGATGGAATAATTAACTAGATGGTAGGAACAGGATTTTTTAATGATACCTAAGACATTGACTAACACTCCTGGCTGTGTTTTTTTCTGATTTGTATAATTCTATTTCTAAGAACTATTATTATTTTAATTTTAATATTGTTAATATTAAGCATTTATTTTATTTTTCAATTCAATTGACAGAACTTAATATCTGAATTTTCCACAATATTATCAACTTTGGTAGCAGCATGAGTAAAAGGCTGAATGAAAATATTGGTCTGAGCTCGAATCATACTTCCATCGTTGGACAACTGCACATGGACACATGCCTGCTCATTTTCAAGTTTTGAAACCAGTTATATCCTCTCGGCTTCATGTCATTCAGAAGCAACGGTCTAAAAAGGTAGTGTCACCTAATTGGGGAACTCTCTCTTCTCCTCCCTTGATGTGCATTCTTCATTAGCTGTGCAGTGCCTCTATGCTGTGTTTTATTTAACCATGCATACTCGTAAGAACACTCTTGTACAGTTTCTCTGTCGATTCCTCCTCGTAACTGTACCGTTAGCTTGAGTCTGCCTCGCCGAGGGGCTCAGTTCAGCTCAATGTGCCTGTATTAAGAGGTGTCTGTAAAACCTTTCCGCTAGTTCTGCACAGTCATATTTCAGATTCCCGCCGTAGAGGCCGCGGTTCTAAAGGAACGGTGGCCTGGCTGTGGTCTGAGTCTGAGCTAGTGTCCGTGTTTGTCCCGCCAGGGCCCAGGCTGTCCCCGTTCCCTTCCTCTTTCTCCTCTTTATTTGAAAGGGCCACCTCGTTCTCATAGCAAAAAGAATTCGAGTTGGATAGGATATATTTTTTCTCAGCAAGGTCCCTCGAGCTGCACAGGGGGGTGCTGGGCACTTCGTAGGTCTTGTGAAAGCGAGAGTAGTCCACTTTGTAATAGTTTTTCTCCTCGAAGAGGACAGGCTCAAATCGGTGTCCCCACAGGATCTCACTGGCCACGTAGGAGCTGCGGCACTGGGTGGTCATGGCTGTGGCCTCCACCATGCCCTCCAGGATAACTACGATTTCAAAGTCAGAGTTCTCCATTTCCTGTTTGCTCATGTCATAGAAAGGGCTGTCCTCATCAATCTCATGGACGATGGTAATCGGTGACACCAAGAAGATGCGGTCAATGCCACTGTCAAAGCCCACGTCGATGTCCATCTGGTCTAAAGGGATAAACTCTCCCTCAGCTGTGGTGCGAGATCTAAGGAGCTGAGCTCGAACGTGGGCCTCTACCAGGTGGCTTTTGCGCAAGTTGCCCACCCTCCACATCAGACACAGCTTATTGTCCCTCATGGCCACCGTAGCATTGTGGCTGAACACCAGAGTCTCGTTCCGCTTCTTGGGCTTTGCCATCTTTGCCATGACAGCACCGATGATGAAGGCGTCAATGATGCAGCCGACTATGCTCTGAAATACAACCATGAACACTGCGATGGGGCACTCATCTGTAACATATCGATAACCGTAGCCGATAGTGGTCTGAGTCTCAATAGAGAAGAGAAAGGCAGCTGTGAAGGTGCTGACGTTGGAGACACACTTGGGCCCATCGTTATCCAGGTCTCCGTGGAATATTGCAACCAGCCAGAAGATACATCCAAAAAACAGCCACGACAGCAGGAAGGCCAAGCAGAAGATAATGAACATCCATCGCCAGCGAATGTCCACACACGTGGTGAAGATGTCGGCCAGGTAGCGCTGGCTCTTCTCGCCGACGTTGATGAACTGCACGTTGCAGTGTCCGTCTTTCTTGACAAACCTGCTCTGGGTCTGGTGACGGGTGTGGACCTTGCCCTTCCCATTACGGTACCCATTTGGCACCGCAGCAGTGGCCAACTTCATACCGTCCTCCTCTGATGACACGATGCTGTAGCGGTTGGCCCGCACACTTCCCATCACCTCAGTCTGGGAGGTCTGTGCTGTTTCTGCTTTGGAAAACAGTCTTAGTTTCTGGAAAAAGCGTTGGAGAAACAGTTTTGAAACACTCACGGGGACCAACACAAGCAAGAAATGGGGTTGTTCAGAGCCGGACGCAGGAGGCGTCTCTTTGCTCCAGTTGGACCTTTGATTGACAGAAAGGGCCAAGGATGGCGTGATCACTCGGTTCTCATCTGCTCTGGTGATATCATCGATCAAATGTCCTATAAGAAACAAGAAACGAGATACACGTTAACATTAACTGGCAAAGACTGTAAACGCAACATTCTCTGAACATTAACTGAACTGAATTTTTGGATCTAACAGCACACAGGTCTCCGAGACCAAATGTGATGCACATAATTCTCACACATTCTCATGCAAGTCTCAGCTTGTACTAGTGTTGTCAAAAGACCCGGTATTTCGGTACCAAGTCGGTACTAAAAACATGAAAACGTTACGGTACCAGGTTTTCTTAAGTACCGGTGGTACCGAGTACCCGGTCAACCCGGTTCTTGATGCGCTATCTGAAAGCTATCCTCTTCCAGTGTTGCCAAGTCCATGGTTTTCCCGCGGAATTGGGCTGCTTAACACTGTTGCCGCGGGTTGTTTTTCATGTCCGCGGGTTGAAAAACGACCCCATTAACGTGATATTTAGCCCCTGAAATGCGAATTTTACCAGGGGAACCCCGCCAAAACAGCGTATTTTATCCCCTGAACGCGATTTTTAACGGGGGACCCCTCGAAACGCGATTGGGCGGGTTTTGTTGTGAAAACCTGGCAACCTCTTCTTAAAAGCAGAGGCGACCTCAAGAGGAGGAAACGCATCAAACTAACAAAACACCCCGATCAAGTTCAAGCAGGTAAGTTTCAATTACATTTTTAATATTTAGAGCTTCTCGTATGAATATTATTCCATATTTTAATTAGAATTTCGGATTGAAATAAACATCGCCGTTAGCGTATACGTAGTTAATCGTTAGCATAAGCACGGCTAACGCTAATATAATGAGCATTAGAATGAATTTTGTTCATTTTGTTCAAAATGATTTCTTTGTTAACTATTTAATGCTCCTATAACTTTTATTACTGTAAAAAACAGGAGGACATAATGGTATTTACTATTTTTACACACCAGAGGCTTTTAAATGAACTGTGTAACCAAAATATGCGTGTTAGAGAATGTACAAATGTATGGTTAACAGTGTTTATGTCATATCAGTCCGTCAGAAAAAGTTATATATATATATATATTTTTTTTTTAGTTAGTTAGTTGTAATTCTTGGGTGAATATCTCTAGCAGGTTTTAAAAGCCCTTTAAAATTAAATATGAACACAGTTTGGATTATACTGATAAATTTGTACACTGATTAAATCATAATGTTAACAATTCCCTATGAATTTAGGATCACATGAAATAATACTAACTTTGATGCATGGTATGTGCTTAATCAAAAACTCATACTTTGAAACTTAAGAGGACCCAGACCATTCCTTTCAGATTGAGAAAAAAAACAGCAGCGTTAGCCAACACGACTTTACTCAAAATGGACAAATCATCAGTGAGGCTGTGAAGTAACGACTGAAAGTTTCTTGTCTGATTGTGAGATTTTTTCAACTTATTTTGTTCATATGTTGAGAAAGAAAATTCTTCATTTTCTTGTGCAACATCAAAGGTTTTCATATCATGTCATAATTTCAATCTCAATTACCACCTGCATCAACACCTTCGTCAATTTAATTCAATCAAATAATTTTTTTTTAATTTTCTTAAATACAATGACATTTTACCAGGTAGTGCACCACGTCACTTGATAATGCCATGCCAACCTGTCTGTTTATGCGATCTCTCATATAGTGTAATTGCCCACAAGACCATTAGTAATGCCCGTTTTCACATACTGTGCTAATCAGGGTAAGGGTGAATGGAAAATTGTTTTGTTCAATCACGTATGTCTCTTACCAATGCACTAATTTAAATAGCCAAAAACTCATCTAACCCACAGTGGAGTCCTGAAAGCTCTACTTAAAACCTTTATAGTACCTTTCCGTATATTTAACATGTTATCTATTTTTAGTGTACTGAACAATAATAAAATGCTTTTTTAAAACTAATTTAGTCAATGGAGAACAGCATGCATTCTGATCAAATCTGTTATCGTGTCCAACCTCTTCAAATACCATCTCAAAGTACATAACATACTGAACTATTGCTTAAACATCAGCGAAGATAAAAACAAGCTAAGACTGGTTTGCAGTAGGGTGCAGAGCAGGGACTGAGACCAGGCTTGTTGACTTGAGAGCTTGTCCTCTGGGACCTCATCTTCTCTCTCAGCAGTTTAATGACAGCCCTGTGACAATTCCCCTGGGGAGGGCTAAAACACTACTCATTAAAGCTCCTATTCTGCCCTCAATGTTCTTAGCAACCATAACTGAAAAGAAAGGTCCCATTTTATCTTATTTAGCAGATGCACGAAATGCAGAAGGATTTGAGAGAGGAAAAAGACAGCAAGCGAGTAAGAGGCAAAGAACCAGAGAAAATAATATATTTGTATTTAAACAGAAATTACTTTTTTTTTTTTTTTTACTAGCAAGGAAATTTCTTCCATCTACAACAAAAGAGCAGGTTGATAGATGCCATTATTTCTTACATGAAACATAATATGACAGTGTTTATATCTAGGAAAGATGTTTATTTTGATGGCGTGGACCAGTGAGGACCGATGGAAAATGTTACATAAAAGTCTACATTCTTTTGAGTGATCTAACTAGGATTAATATTCCTCAAATATGGTTGCATATTTTAGGGAAATTCCTTTTGCCCTATTATCACTGTTAACAGTTTACACTGTGGCGTGCATAGACCTGACAGTAGCTGCATATCGAAAGTCTCGGAGTCTTTAAGGCAGAAAAGTGTATCTGTGTGTCTGTCAGCCGACTGACGCCTGACAACTGCGGAGCACAGCTGTGCTCCAAATATATTAGACAAATGCATACTTCGCAACATTGAGCTCAATAGAATAGACTACTAAAAACAATACTAGGCTATATAATATTTAACATCATGTTACATGCAACAATACACATAATGCAGTACTAAAACCCATATGTTCCTTTTATAAAGCAAATCTGTCAGGCAGGCATATGGAGAAGTCAACAGGTGTGGAAGGAAAAGACATTACCTTAATCTTTTTTTTCACAGTTTCTTTCTTTTGAATGACTACTTAATACATGTATAAAGTAATAAGAAATTCAGGATGCTGTCACCTTGTGTATTTGTCTTCAGAGAAAATCAAAATCAAATATTGATCACACTCTCACAAGTTTCATTGAAGTGTCATGTGCATGAGGGTCAGAAATAGATTTAAGAAAACCATCCATATAAGAAAAAATATGGATAATACCATCCCATAAAAAAATAATAAATGAAATCTCTGAAAGTGTTTCCCTTAGACAGCAATCATATTAAATGGAGCTCAAACTGAGACTGTTTGATTAAGTGATCTTCTTCTCAGGGATTGTTTTGTTGTTGTTGTTTTTTTACTGATATAATGTGTATCCTATAGACTTTCAATAGAGAGCTCAACAATGTTCTCAAACTATGCGACTGTCTGCTATCAAAAGTCAAATAAAACCGAGAACTCCACTAAAAAGTCTCCTTTGCAATGAAAGAGCAACATCTGAGCCACAACATTCTTAATGAAATGAAGTTAAAATGCATAGCACAAACCACTTCATATCGTCAAACAGTCCGGGTTTATTTACAGTTACATAAAATATGTCAGCAAATATATGTGCGACCTTACCTAGTCATTTGTAAATGAACACGAAACAGTTCTCATATATAAAAATATCCCACGAATGGTTTTACTATCCACACTGTCCTCCCATTGATCTGATTCTCTCCACGTAACGTATTAATAGTATTTGATATGAAGCATAAGAACAAAAATGTCCACGTTTCTCCTCTTGTTTGCGGTGTGCGGTAACTCATGTGCTGTTTCTTCTAGGCTTCAAACCCATTTAAACAACACGCAACAGCTGGCCACGCCCCCTCTTTTAAACCCGGCCAATCCGATGAGTTTCACGCGCGGATAAAACAATCAGACTGGAGAGCAAGTGAAACACGGAACCAATGCGGCTTGCGAATTAAGGATTGAATCCCCCCAATGGAAGCCAAAACTAAAGCTTGTGGGAGTTTAAAAAGTATGTATTCTTTCATAAGTGTGCATATGTGTCAGCAGAGTTTTCAAACAACCTTTCAGTAATCACCACAGTTACAAGTTAGTCACAATGAGCTAAACAGACGCTGACCAACACAAGCCGCGTTCGCCTGAGGAGGTAACCATAGCAACAGTGCGATTTTTCTCAATGCCTGCCGTTATTTCGACAAAACATAAGGTCATTATTTGTTTACAAGTCATAAATATAATCGCAACGTGATTTAAACCGTCGCTCGAATCTCGCCCGGTTTCGCTGCGAAAATTACTAACTGAAAAGTCAAGTAAGTTACACTGAGAAAAATAGTGTGTAATTCCCACACTGACCTCAGATATTTAATTATGAGTAACCATGAGACCAAATGCAATGTGGACATCGTTTATCAGGCTTCAGATTTAAACCAAACACTCAATAAACAAATCATGTATAAAATAATTTAACATGAAATACTATTGTGGCCTTTAGTCTAGGTTATGCCATTGACAACAAACAGTGAAGTCATAACTTTAACAGTTTCCAAATGTGCTATTCTGGGGTTTGCCATGATGAAATATGATCAACAAATAGTATAGGATCCATTGTATGCATTTCCACAGCTCAACTCCGAAACTATTCAGGCTTTGTCTTCCAGCATCTGTGCGTTGTATTGTTGGGAATCAGTATTTCAAGACCATTGTGAAATAAATTAATGATCATTTATTGTTCAGTCAGAGGAATGTTTCTCCATCTCTTTATAAGTGGTCCAATGAAAACCCAGCAGCAAGTGTTCCACAGGCCTTTGCCCGTCCCGGCTGCTGCCACACACTGCTTACTTATCATAACTAATGAGCCGTGTTAAACTTTTATTTGTGAAGCTGTTGCAAAGTGCTTATTTTAGTTACTTTCTTGTTTAAGTCTATAAATAACTATTTATAGGTGAAACATGGTGCATGAGCTGTCCGGCCTCTGTTTACCTTTCAGCCTAATTTGAGGCATGCTTGGACAGCACTGCATCCAACCACAAGGTGGAGGGCTGGAGACTTCACTTTCCGAGGAACATGTCCTGAGACCCAGCAATTTTATTCACTGTAGTAGACATATGTTTTTTGTTAATATATCTGAGACCATACATGCCACTGTTTTAAGTCCTGGTCTTTTTTGAAGAGGACATCCTGGACTTTTTTTGTCATTCCAAATTATTGGATGTGGTCAATGTGATAACATCAGTTTATGGTTGAACAATTATAAAATGTGACTATATATAACAACATAAATTTAATCAAATAATATTATATAAGGCTTCTCTAAAAATATTTTTATATGAATGATCTCTTTATTATAATATACTGTATATGTTAGAATGTATACATTTATATTAAAATATGATGCAAGTATTTCAGAATTGCTTGGTTGTAGGAGGGGGAGGTCTTTCAACAGTCATACATTGCACAATGAAATCTAAATACTCATTTATCAACCATTAGATTGTCCTTAGGGGAATTGGATGCAGACTGTGTAAATATGGACCCTTCTCACAAGACTGTGATGACGCATTTCAATGGTCATCAGCATCGTAAATCCTGCAAAGTTTTGTGTATTTTCATTTTTGAAAAAATGTATACATTTATATACCTTTGCATCAAATGACAAAAAACTAGATAACGCTAATGTGAGGGTGTTTCTAATGCAGCGTCTATGGGAGTGATGGTAAATTTGACATCGTTCTCTCTACTGACTGCTGTTATCAGTCTCTCTCTATTTTTTTCCTTTTTTGAAAGTAATGAAAACACCGTCATGGAGTTTTTCTTTTGCTATTTGAGCAAATGGGGATGCAAAAAAAGATATTTATGGTAGTCTCCCATTCACTGCTATAGACGTTTACCCAACTATGACAACTTTTGCTGCTGAGAAACCCGAAAATGTGAAAAAGGTCCATTGAAAATTGCCACTGGGGCTCTGTTTCCAAAAGATTTTATTAGTTGTTTGGACGGAAAGGTTAACCACTTTGCAAAATAAGGTGGAACAGTGTTCTGTACTTACTCAGCTAATGCTAAAGAGACACACTGACTGACCACAGTTTGGTCCGTTTAATGTCACTGTCATGATAATTGATCCATTGCCTCTTATGTAAGTTGAAGGTTTGGGTTCATAATTTAATCAAGGAGGTCCTTTTTTCCGTCTCTTGATATCAAAGAACCTTCAAGGTCATACAAGACGAGTCCGTAATGCCCATCAATTTTTTCTATGTCTGTGATATCAGTGATAAAGTGGTATAAAGTGATATTGAGTTTGTGCAAGGCTGCTGAATGCCACATATACAACATAAATAACATACTAATTAAACAACACTTTTATATTATATTGAATATAGTGATCTAATTGGATTCTCATCAAACCGAAGGGCCTACAGGGCTTTAATGTGATTTTCCAGTACTAGTCCAGGATACTATGTTAGAAAGGTCTTTTAAGATCTTCTTGCTAACTTACTAACAGCACACCTTAATGTCTAAATCTAACTATAAGTGCACTATTTCTTACAATAGTGATGCCCTTTGAGGAAGCCCTATTTCAAAGTGCTATAGCAGAGTCAGGATATATCAAGGCCACTGTTATAGATCGTGTTCTTGGACAGCACTGCTGGTGGATGCTTTTTCTGCCTCAAGACTATTCCCATTAACCAATTCCACAGCTGCTGTTGGAGAACTTATGTGAAGTGGTTTGTGTTTTGGCTGTTGAGAGTACTTCTTTAGGTCATACTCCTCTGCGCTTAATTCTGGGACCAGGACTTTAACTGTGTGGTTGAACAGGGCGTAGTCCACTCTGTAGTTCCTGCGGGTGACCCTGATCATCTCCTGAAAGTGCTGGCCCCACAGAATCTCACTTGGAGTGTAGGATGTGCGTGTCTGGTGAAGGATGCCTGTGCAGTCGTCTGTGTAGGTGAAAGAGACCACCAGCTCAAAGTTCTCCTTCCTCAGGTCCTTCAAGCTCACCTTGTATAGAGGACTGCCAGGGGTGATTTTATGAACTATAGTCGTTGTGGTGGCCAGGATGATGTTGTTCTCTTCAATGTTGAGGTCTTTGTATGTAACGTTAACTTTTCCTGTGCTGTGTGCCAGGTGCCGTACCAGCTGTGCATGAGCCGTTCCTTCTACCATGTGGTTCCTTCGGAAGTCCCCGACCCGCCATGACAGGCATAGGTGATCGTCACGCAAGCTGATCACTGCACAATTGCTGAATCCAACCGTTTGTGCTCTCTTACGGGCAGATGCCATCTTTGCGACTGCGATGCCGATGACAAAAGTGTCAATGAAGACACTGATGACATCTTGGATGGTAACTACGATGATGGCAATCATGCAGTTCTCAGACATCCCCCGAAAGCCATAACCAATGGTGGTCTGGGTCTCTAATGAGAATAGAAAAGCAGCTGTAAAACTTCGAACCTCATAAACACATGGCTCATTGTTGGGGTTTTTCATATCGCCGTGGGTCAAAGCAATGATCCAGAACAAAATTCCAAAAAAGAGCCACGATAAAATGTAGGAGAAGGCAAATGTCAAGAACATGACCCTCCAGCGGATCTCCACCAGGGTGGTGAAGATGTCAGTGACCCAGAGAAGCCACTCCTCTGGAACGTGGTGCACAACCATTTTACAGCTCCCATCTTTTTTCACGTATCGTTTCTTCTTGAAGTAGTAGTTGTCATCTGTAAGCACATTGGGAATTTCGTCACTGCACTTCACTCCGGAATACTGTACTGTGCCCGAGTTCATGCTGCCTCAGTCTAGAGAAGAGAGAAATTCATATTCAGATTCACAGGTACCCGTAATACTGAACTCAATTAGATACATACATGCATACACACACACACACACACACATATATATATACAAACTGATTTTTACATCCTTGCAAAAATGTGATAGTTATTCTGAACATGTCAGTTTCATTTTAGCCATCAGTAATAATGCTCGAGTACAAAGCGTATGATTCAAGAACCAGAGTATAGAGCATCTGATTCTAGAACCAGCATATAGAGCATCTGATTCCAGAACCAGTGTACAGAGCATCTGATTCTAGAACCATCGTATAGAGCATCTGATTCCAGAACCAGAGTACAAAGCGTATGATTCAAGAACCAGAGTATAGAGCATCTGATTCCAGAACCAGAGTACAAAGCGTATGATTCAAGAACTAGCGTATAGAGCGTCTGATTCCAGAACCAGTGTACAGAGCATCTGATTCTAGAACCAGCGTATAGAGCATCTGATTCCAGAACCAGTGTACAGAGCATCTGATTCTAGAACCAGCGTATAGAGCATCTGATGCCAGAACCAGTGTACAGAGCATCTGATTCTAGAACCAGCATATAGAGCATCTGATTCCAGAACCAGTGTACAGAGCATCTGATTCCAGAACCAGAGTACAGTGCATTTGATTGAAGAACCAGCGTACAGAGCATTAGATTGGAGAACCATACAAATAGAGCGTCTGACTTAAAAATCAGAGTACAAAGCATATGATTGAAAAACTGTCGAATGGAGTGTCTTATTCCAGAACCAGAATACAATGCATCTGATTCTAAAACCACTAAACAGAGCATCTGGTTCATGAAGTCCAGAGTGCCTGGTTCCAGAACCAGCGTACAGAGTGTCAGATAGGAGAACTGTTGAACAGACATGTATAGTGCCTGATATGAGAACCGTGGAATAGAGCAGTGGTTCCCAAAGTGGGTGCCGCGACACATTGGGGTGCCGGGACAACTGGCTAGGGGTGCCGCAGAATCTTAGCTTTTTTTCCAATTTAAACAACCTAAAATAACTATTGTACCATATAGTAACCTTTTACACTATATATTTTAAAAATAGCCTATATCAAAACACCAACATATGAGCATGTCCAAACGAAAATAAATAAGCGAAAAAACACTGATATATTTCATACTTATTTAAAGTTTAAATATGTATTTACCGGCAATTAGACTGTTCTCAGGAGAGAATCGCCCCGCCCGCTCCGCCCTTTGTACTGGTGCACGCTCAATTTCATACCTATTTCACGCAGTGACTGACAGGACACGAAATTCGTGTTGCTGTGATAGACGGTGTTGACGGTTTTACCGATGTGAAGCCGCAAGTTCCCGCAACACCGGTTATGTCATTGCCCACCGCGGCACCGCCCCCACCGTCATTTTGATTTTTTTATAGTAATAAAAATCATTTAGTTCACTACAATTAAAACTGCTCAATGCAGCGTGCCGAACGACAGTCACATCACAGATCAGATCTCATTTGATCTCATCTAGCAAGGAGAAGCTGACAAGAAGAGAGAGATGAGACAGACAAGAGGATGGCAGAAGAGTTTCAAAACGACATGCAAAAGCGCCTGTTTTAAAAATATTTTGGATTTTGAAAAGCCTGTTAACTTCTGCCATTTATCTAAGGTGATTTTGTAAGTTTTTTTAAAAACATTCGTTTCTTATTTATTTGGTTCCATCCTGTTTGCTGATTTAAATTGATTTAAACTGTGAATTTTTTTTACATCAATATGCCGTGTCTCCAATCTTTCTTATTCGTTTTGCTAATAAACGTACATTTCTTATTTATTTGGTTCCACAGTGTTTACTGATCTTCAGTTTTGTATAGGCTACCTAAACTTTGTCTAAGTTATTTGTTATTTTATATTAGGCATATAGCATGGTGTATTTTTATTCGTTTTGTTAATAAAAGTTCTATGTTCTACATTGTATTTTGTTGTTGCTTGAACTGAATTCAGGAAATTGAAGCTGAATTGCCGCTAATTTGAAAGTGAAAGTAAAATGCGCACGGCGCTTTTAAGCTATTTAAAAGCGAAGGAAAGTGAGGAAAAGAGGAAAAACTCAAACGAACTAAAAACAAACAACTGCTTGACGGCGAATTGCCGCTATTTTGAAAGTGAAAGTAAAATGCACAGGGCGCTTTTACAAGCTATTTAAAACAGAAGGAAAGCGAGGAAAAGAGGGAAAACTACCCCCCTCTTTTCCTCACCGTCACAACCCTAAATTATACCCATCTATCTCAGAATGCGCCGTAGTTCTGACAAATAATGCTACCTATCAGATTATGCTACCAACACTGTATTTATCCTATGGTAAGGGTAGGTTTAGGGTTGGGGTAGGTGTACATGTTAATAAAGCCTCACACCTTATTAATATCATGCTGGAAGCAAAATCTGATAGGTAGCACTTTTCGCTATCAAATTATGCTACCATCTGTTTTAATGGGAGTTAGCAAAATCTGACAGGGTAGCACAAATGGTCAGAACACCGTCAATGTGCTGTTGCCGTTTTCAACCTCTTTCCATGCACAGGTATTTTATTTTAGTTTTTTAAGTTATAAGGTCAGGTTTGAACAAAGCAAATGAGAAACTAAAGAAAAAATTTTATTTGAGTTGTTTATTATTATTTAAAGAGTTAAGTATCAATCTTTAAATGTGCTTTGTTCCAATGATTCCCACATGGGTATTTTGTTGTTGCTTGAACTGAATTCAGGAAATTGAAGCTGAATTGCCGCTAATTTGAAAGTGAAAGTAAAATGTGCACGGCGCTTTTAAGCTATTTAAAAGCGAAGGAAAGTGAGGAAAAGAGGAAAAACTCAAACGAACTAAAAACAAACAACAGCTTGACGGCGAATTGCCGCTATTTTGAAAGTGAAAGTAAAATGCACAGGGCGCTTTTACAAGCTATTTAAAACAGAAGGAAAGCGAGGAAAAGAGGGAAAACTACCCCCCTCTTTTCCTCACCGTCACAACCCTAAATTATACCCATCTATCTCAGAATGCGCCGTCAATGTGCTGTTGCCGTTTTCAACCTCTTTCCATGCACAGATATTTTATTTAAAATTTTTTAAGTTATAAGGTCAGGTTTGAACAAAACAAATGAGAAACTAAAGAAAAAATTTAATTTGAGTTGTTTATTATTATTTAAAGAGTTAAGTATCTATCTTTAAATGTGCTTTTTTCCAATGATTCCCACATGGTTCAAATCAGTCTGTTGACATTTGTCATCCAGTTGTAAAAGACAGATGGTTCATTTGAATGGGTTGTTTCACCTCATATTATGTCTGTT